CTTGGCTTTGGGGCCTAGTTGTTTGATCTGTTCTGTCATGATTCCGTCGATGCCCGCTGCTTTCCTATTTTTCATTACTCCGATGGCCATATTTAGCTCATCCATCTCGAATGGTTTATTGAAGTCACTTGTATTATTCTTTATATCCATTTTAAATTTAAGCTTAGTTTTCTTCCCTTTTGTCTTCGTTTTGCCATTCATTAATAATTTGTGTGCAATTTGGTCTGGTGTTATGTTTATATGCTCTTTCGGTTGTTGTTTTTCATTGTTCATGCTTTTTATTAGTTTCCAGGCTTTGTTGCTGTTTTTGACCATATCTAGATCCTTAATTAATGTCATCCATTCTTTTTTACGTTCTTCGGCTATATCCTTCAAAATACGTTCTCCAGTTTCAATTGTTAGTTCCGAAAAGGGATCTTCTTCATACCTTTCGTAGTAGGTTTCTAAGTCCTTTATGGTGTCTTGTCGTAGTCCCTTGATGTAATTGATGTGGCAACCCCTTGGTATATATTTTCTTGAGACCTTCTTTAATCTATCTACAAATTTGCAGTAATTAGCAGGTGTTGGTTGTAGAGTTTGTATTTCATTATCCATATATTTCGTGACTTCTGCCCATTTAGCCTTTTTAAAGTTGAATCGTCTCCTAAAAGGTACCATTCGCGGTGTTATGGCTGCATTTATCTGGCATTGAATCGGTCGATGTTGAGTTTTTGGGATAGCTTTCATTATTGATTTAATGCTCATATTTCTTATATTATGGCTCACGAAGATGTTGTCGGGGTTATATCCTTTCCGCCATCTACCGCTGTTAAATGATGGTGGGATTTTAGCATCATGTATTAAACTCATATTGTCCCTTTCTGCCCAATCTTCGACCTTTTCCCCATCTTCATTGTTCTCTGTGTATCCCCACATCACATTATGGCTATTAAAATCTCCTATTACAATTTTTATATTTCTTTCCCTGTAGTTCTCAGGTTCTTCAAATTCAAATGATACATTAGGGGGCTTATATATTGATGTTATGGTGCATTGTTTTATGTCTATTGTCATAATTTCTATATTGTTTTTGTCTGTGATCCCTGTCGATATTATATCCAAATCAGGTTTAGTAAATATAGCACTTCCGTATTTACTGTGTGGCCTTTCTACCACTAGTCTCATCCCGCTTATTTTTGGTCTTCTGTGGTTTGTATCTCGGTGCGTCTCTTGTAAGCACAGCACCTCACATCCCGATGTTTTACATAACTCCGCTAAAATATTTTCTTTCTCTGGTGTAAGACCTTCGATATTTATGGATATCATCGTCATGGTTGGCCCTGAAAAGGGCCTTTTGGGTTGAAGACCGTGGTTGGTAGGATTGGTTGACGAGCGTTGCATTATTGTCGTATATATCAGGTATATCTTATAAAAATGCAATCTCGTCGTTCCAGGGACACCGCGTGGAGGTTCCTACCATGTCCCCATATTATGATTACATGTATTATAATAAAAAGTAAAGTTGGTATTACATTTTTATTTTGCATATACTGAAACCTATATTATTATTATTAAACAAATAAATTGTGACTCGGCTTAGTTTAACCTATTGTAAATAATAATTTTCTTCTGTTGAATCTATGATGTATACAATTTCGTCATAGTAAAAATATTATGTTTACAGAAAATATTTTGTTATTTAGATATAAAATTAAATGGAATACAAAAGAATCGATAACATGGCTATAATTGTTAATTACTTGTAACTAGACAGTATAAACAATATCATTGATAGTCAATACATACTATTCAGGATTTAATGTCATAATTATGGTCATGAAGGATGTCTGAAAATCTATTAACATGTAACATATTAAAAATATATATTTTTATTTATTTTCATAATATAGCAGTGTTTAAGTTTCAATAAATTAATAAAGATATTTTAGCTATTTAATAAGATATACAAATATTTTAATGTTCCGCTAAAGCATCTAATCTCAACCTATTATATTTATGTTACATTATTGGTGCAACAATATTCAATGTATTTTTGTAAGTATATAATTTAAATAAAGCCAGAATGTCATAATAAATTAAATAAAATAAAAATACTTGGTTTATATTATTATATTAGCTATTTACATTTATTTTTATTTATTTACCAGTTGCAAACTAGTAAAGACTTGACGAGAAAAACATTATTAGTATTAATATTTTTAAATATCAATTAATATCCAAATTAATCTTAATTGTTTTAATTTCAAGAAAGATTCTGGCGACATAGACCATTGGGTTTACAAATGTTTAAATTACATGTTAAATGTTAATGAGGTTATACTATAGAAAACTAAATTTAAATTTTGATTGAAGGTTTGCTGTTGTGATGAATTGCATGATGTCGGCTATGGCTTTGGGATGATTGTGGAGTATTTTCGGCGAGTGTTTTGAGCAGGTTGAGGTTTGATCGATGTTGAGATATGTGCGGCATTCAGTGAGAATGTGTTTGATGTAATTTGGATGCCGCATGTTGGGCAAGTTGAGGTTCTTCCTTGTTTATTAGAAAACTGTGTGAGATTTGCGAGTGGCCAATTTAGCCTCGTTATAATAACTTCGAATTTTCTGGTGTTTCGATGGAATGTCCAGTTGTCTGTGTTGTGTTTTATTTTATTTAGCTTGGTAGATAAGGATAACCATTTCTGATGCCATCTTAGATGGCATTATTAGTATAAGTGCTTGTATGTCCCTGTATGATATGGTATATGTGGGAGACGAGAGTGAAGAGGAGATTACGGTTTTGACAGCTAGGTCAGCGCGCTCGTTTTCAATGATGTTGAAGTGTCCAGTAATCCAGAAAAGTTTGATTTTGAAATTATTAATTTTTAAGCGTGTATATTTTGTTTGAATATAAAGGCCAATGTCTGATGGGTTATTATTAGTATTTTTTATGTTATTGAAGGCGCTGAGGGAGTCGGTAAAGATGATAGTGTCATGGATCTGGTGAACGGTTATTAGTTCGAGGGCTTTGATTATTCCGATTGATTCAGCAGTGAAGACTGAGCAGGAGTTAGGGAGTTTGTACATAAATTTTATGTTATTCCAAACAACTGCAGCTCCGACCCCGATTTGGGTTTTGGATGCATCCGTGTACATTTTTTCGCATTTTATGTTTTATATCAAGTGGAAATATTCTTGTTTATATATTGAAGAAGGAGTGTCTTTTTTTTTAATATGGAGAGTACGGTGTTAGTTACATTGAGATTTGTCCATTGGGGAGCTAGGGGAGGTGAAATAGTTAATAAATTAGAGATTACTAGATTGTTCTCCTGAAGTAGTATTGATAAAGTTTTGAGTTTTAGATTGAAGTCGAGTGAGGGAAGAGTGCTTGCTAACTTTAACTCATGGTTTAATGTTATTTTGAGTCTTCTTATTTCGAGTGGAGGTGTACATGCTAAGTTGTAGATACTGGGTATTGGGCTTGATCGATAAGCACCAATAGACATACGGAGTCCGGCGTTGTGAATGGTATCTAATTTTTTTGTATTTGATTTATTAGCTGTTGTCCATAAGAATGATCCGTAATCGAGTTTAGATAGTATTAGTGATTTGTATACTGTTAGTAGCACATGAGTTTTGGAACCCCATGATGAGTGAGATAACGTTTTTATAATATTGAGCCGTGGAGAGGTTGAGTTTTTCAAGGAGTTGATGTGGTGGGTCCAGGAGCATCTTTTGTCGAAAGTAATTCCGAGTATTTTGATAGTATTATTATTTATTAATTGGTAATCACCGATTTTTATGTTTAAGGAGTTTTGAATGCGCTTACGAGTGAACACTGTACATTGAGATTTTTCGGGAGAAAAAGTGAAGCCAGATGTAAGGGTCCATTTAATAAGATTATTGATGGCTTGTTGAAGGTGTGTTTGGACAGTTGCTAAGCTCTTGCTTCGGCAATAAATATTGAAGTCATCCGCGTAAAGGGTAGAATAGACGGGTGGAGAGATGTTCTGAGTGATATTGTTGATAGCGATGAGGAAAAGCGTGACCGAAATTGTAGATCCCTGAGGGACTCCGTTTGCCTGTGAGAAAGTGTTGGATAGAGTTTGATTAATACGTACTTGAAATGTTCTTGTTTTAAGAAAATTACTAATGAAGTTGAATAATTGATTTTGACTTAGTACTTTATTGAGACTGTTTAAAATGTGAGGTTTCCATGTTGTATCGTATGCTTTCATTAAATCGAGACTGATCATGCCTAAGTATTGATTTTCGGAGTAAGTGTTTTGTATCTCTGTATGTATCTTGGATAGACAGTTATATGTGCCTTTATTTTTTCGGAACCCACATTGTACTGGGGAGAGATAATTTGACTGTTCTATAAACCAAATTAGACGTTGGTTAACAATTTTTTCTAAGACTTTACATAAGGTATTAAGAAGTGAGATGGGCCTGTATCCTTCAGGGGAGAATTTGTTTTTTCCTGGTTTGCTTATAGGTATGACAATACTGTTTCTCCAATTTTGAGGAAATACATTTTTGTTCCATATGGTGTTGTAGATTTTTAGGAGTACTTGGAGTGTGTCGATGGAGAAGTTTTGGATAAAGCTATAAGGGATATTGTCCGATCCGGTATTTTTGCTGGTACATTTTTTAAGAGCTTACAAAATTTCATCAATTGTTATAGAGCTGTTTAAGTAAGTTTGCTGGGCATTTTGGGGTGATATTGAAGAGGGTTGAGCAGGTGGTAAATTCGTGTTTTGCCTTAAGAAGTCGTGGCTGTACGTATCATTGCTGGAGTTTTTTTCGAAGTATTTTCCGAGGAGGTGAGCAATTGAAGATGGATCGGTGTTCAAAGATGAGTTGGTGGAGAGATAGATGTTGTTGTGTTTTTTTCGTCCCTGTAGTGAATGGATTTTGTTCCACATTATGTGGGGGTCAGTCTGAGCGCCTAAATTGGAGGTAAAGTTTCGCCATGTAATGGCTTTATTGCTTTTGACCAGGAATCTTGTTTTCGCTCTGAGTTATTTTAATTTGATGTGGTCCTCGAGGGATCTGGTTTTGATAAATGTTTTCAGTGCTTTATTTTTTAGTGATATAGATTGTTTAATTTCATTGTTCCACCACGGAACTGGTGTTTTTTTGGAGGGGGGTTTTATGTATCCGATTGTTTGTTCTGCTGTCTCTATGACGGTCTTGGTGAATTTTGAGACTGTTGTTTCAATATCAATATCGTCATCAGTGAATTCAGACGAGTTGATTTTCTTTTCGAGAAGGTTTGAGAATAGAGGCCAGTCAGGTTTCTTGAGGTTCCATTTTATTGTAGAGTGGTTCATTTGATAAGCATTGGAAATGAATTGTATTGAGATTGGAAGGTGATCGCTATTATAAATTTCATTTAATACTTGCCAGTGTAATCTTTGTGCTAAGGTAGGTGTGGAGAACGTTAGATCGATGGCTGAGAGGTTTCTGTTGGTGGGATTTATCCTAGTTTGCTTTTTGTTATTGAGTATTACGATGTTATCTTGTTCTAATAATTTTTCTATAATCTTTCCTGTTAGATCGGTTTTATATGAACCCCACGAATGACTGTGGCTGTTGAAATCCCTGACAATGATAAAGGGACGTGGTAGTTGTTTGATAATATTTTCTAGGTCTATTAGTGTAAAATTGAAATTATTTAGAATGTATATATTACATAGGGTGGTTTTTGTTTCGAGTATGATTGATATTGCGACAGCTTCAATGTTTGTATGGAGAGGGATTTCCTCCCAAGGGAATGAGTTATTAATGAGAGTGCAGACCCCACCGCTTGCTCTCAGACAGCCTCTACGGTTTTTTGTTGCATATTGATTGTTATTTATATTAGGTGGAGACTCGTCGAACTTGAGGTTAGTCTTTTGAAGGCATATTGCGATAGGTTGGTGTAAGTTTATTATAAGTTTAATTTCGTCGATATTTTTATGGAGTCCATTGAGGTTCCATTGGATAATGTTTTTTGGTTGTGTCTGCATTTTAGTGTTTATTAAAGATCATTACTTTTTATTTTATTTTATTTGTTAGCTTAAATGTTGCCACTATCACATCGATGTTTTTGTGGCTTCGTGTTATTAATTGTTGTTTTTATTCAGTTTGGGTGGGCTTAGTGGACAGCGCTTTATCGAGGAGAGAATTACAAAGTCACGTCAATATGTTTTTTTTTCCAGGAGTATTAATTGTGGGCTTGATTTTTTCTATGACCTCGATCATTTCAAGACATGTAATGTTAAAATCATCTAAAATTTAAGATGGGTTGGATATGCTGAGAGAGTTTTCGATAATGAACTTAAATTGTTCATAATTAATTTTTTTGTTGGGCATTTCTTCAAACTTGGGTTTGGTGGGTTCGAGAATTTCATCAAGCTTTAAGACTATGTTTTCAATGGATTGATTTCGTTTTAATTTTTTGGTTGCTGGTTTCGGTGTTTTGGTTGTATTTGGTTTAGAAGTAGTTTCTTTTGATATATTATCTTGAGTAGGGGATTTGGGGGTAAGCGGATCGTTGGTTAGGTTTGATGAAGTTGAAGAGAGTGCTGGTCTTTTTTTAATATCGATTGTATTTGTAGTCAATACTGTGATGGTATTTGATGTTGTTTCCATCGGAAATGGGTCCTCGAGGAGGGATGTTTGGGTTGAGGTTTGTGAGATGGTGTTTGTGGAGGTGTCAACATTTGTATTTGCGAACGTATTGCATAAGTTTTCATTTATATTTGTATTTATGACTTCTGCTGGTGTGTTTTTGCATTGTTTTGTTATGTGACCTTTACGTTTGCATAAGAAACAGTGAATCGAGTCGTCGTCCAAGAATATTCGGTGAGATGTATTTTCAAGATTGATCGGGATGGATTTTGGTAGTTTTTCGAAATCGTCGGGTTTGATGTAAACTTGGCGTCTAAAGCTTATGATATGAGCTAGTTCTGGGATGTTGAATCCCGCATTGATATGTGTAATTGGTGATAATATTTGGATTTTATGATATTCTAGGTGTGATATAATGTATTCGTTTGGTATATCGGGTGAGACATGAGATATGATTATTCTTTTAGCTGGATTTATTAACCGTCTAATTTTGATCGTCGTATGTGAGTTTATTATGATGTAGGGGTAGTTATCTACAAGAAAATCAACCGTGTTTTTGTCGTTGAGATATATACAGAATCGGTTGTTGGTTATCCGAGAAGCAAATTTTATGTTTTTTGGTGAAGTTAATTTGCTAATTGCAATTATGTATTCAATCTGGGGTATGTTGTCGATTGAATCGAAAACTATTGCGTGTTCTTTTTTGGGTAGTGTAGAGTTGAGAGTGGTTTCGGCGAAATATTTTTTTCCAAAAGCGTATTTTTCAGGTTCATTGTAGGTGTTTTGTTGCGATGAGTAATTGATATTATGCACGCTCTGTATGTGGTTGGTCTTATTGATGGAATTGTGATTAGGAATATTTATATCGGTGGTTTTAATTGCATCGCTGTTGTAGTCGTTATCGGAGTGTTGAGATGGAAGAGGCTCATTAATCGCGTTATCTGCTATAACAACGGAGGGCCCGGTTTTAGATATTATTGGGACATTTTGATTGTTAGTTGAAACTTTAGATGAGGCAATAAGTTTTTCATTAAGCCTACTAGTTTTGTTATGTGGTTCACCCATTTTTTGGGTATTTTATTGATTTATAATGTTAACATGTGAATATGGATCAACGGTTAAATATTTAATCATATTACCTGTACACACGTAGAGCTTCAGTACGCTTACGAGAGGTATAAATGCGAGAGCGCGATAACGATAAGCGTGTTGCTCGGTCGGGAGTGCACACGTAACTGTAACTTTAATTGGTTAGGAATTAAAACAAGGTATAAACTATAAAGACAAAAACATAATATGTAATTTGTAATTTATTTAATAATAAAATTTAAAAATATTCATAACAATAATCATCAAACTTGTAATAAATAACAATTTTAACAATATTTTTGTACACAACACAACATATATTATATACCTACTCAATTATTCAGTATTTTATAAAAAAAAAAAAGTATACAAGGAAAATTAAAAAAAATAAAGCAGATTTTTTACAAAAAATGTTAAATTTAATTTACAAGCTATTTATATAATATTTTTCTACATAATACATATAGTTGATGTATAAACTTTTATAATTACATAATATTAGAAAGTCTAATTTATTTGTTATTTAATTTTATCATGTTAATATACTGTATAGATTAAAAACATATAAAATTAACTTAGGTATTAACAGTAAAAAGAAAATATACATATTTGTATACTTATTTTACAAGTACATAATATAAAATGTTAATTGTTAATATTTTACATGAAAGTATTTTACTAAACATTTAACTATTTACATACTATACTACTATACTATTTACTTATTTTATTTTATTAATAAATGTGTGATATTATTGTTGTTATTTATAATTGCGTCCATTTTTAATAATTAATTTAAATAGTAGATTTTTCCCGCTTTAAAAAATCGCGGGATATAGTTGTATAACTTTTATCACAATAATATAATTATTATCAATATAAACTATATAATTGAATATGGTAATTTTGATTCATTCGGTTGGTGCTTCTGTAGTACTGTTTTTCCGAATTATCATTTTATACTCTTATAATTTTTCGGACAAGTGCTTATCACTCTAATACACCTTGTCCCATAGCTTGTTCCGAAAACGGCAATTGAGTGTCTAGATATCAGTCATCGCCCGGTACGGTGAAAGTCGATACCTGAAAGGGCAATCCGATTTCGGCGGATTGGATGAATTTCCCGTGGCTCGCCCGATGCTTTTGAGTATGTAAAATAAATAAATACACTCCGAAACGGTTATCAAGTGTCTAGTTATCAGTCATCGTCCAGTGAATATCGATTCCTGACGGCAATCCGCCTGCGGCGGATTGTCATACCTCCTGACGTCGAAGGCGTTGTGCTGTTTAGTACGCAAAACAGTTTAAGTCGAATCGAGTGCTCAATATTCAAGTTATCACCATTGAAAATCCAGTTAAACGCGTTTAAACCTCCTAGGCTGACGATGTGGGCGCAAAGAGAAGATTTTAAAAGTATTAATGAAGATACATGTCAAACATTAGCGAGTTGAAGATCAAAAACCTATACATAATTAATATTTTTTTTCATATTTTATAGATGGTTAGATATCGAAAAGAAATATTATGCACTTTCTGTGATGACAAAATATTTAATGTGCTACTGTTTTTCCCTTGTATCTTTCAAATGTAAACAACTGAAAGGCTAAACATATAAAATAGTGAATTCACGGTCAAAACTGAGTAAAACAACTATATTGTCATCAATAGAATGTTCTCAGGCTATAATATAAATTGCATATCACATATGTACATTTGAATTGTGCAGACTGTTAGCAATAACTATAATTGGTTTAATTGAATACTATTGTGTAATTTTATGTTCGTGTAAAGTATATTGTAATATAATATATTTTGACATCATCAATCGAGCAATATAAAATTAAATGTGTGAGATCAAAAATCAATTTGAAAATTTGAAAAATATTTTATTAGTAGTAGTGTAAGACAGGATATCAAAACGAAAACAGCAATATTAATAATGATCAAATTAAATGAGAAAAAAAATGCAAAAAATTCCGTTTGTGTAGTTTCTTATGGGGCTGCCCGGAATACGCCGGAACGGGATACGAACATGCCTACCTAACGACCGGGGACCTATCCTAACACCTATCGACCACAGTTTAAGTTGTAAATTACAACCGAATCTTGAGCACTTAAACCGTTTTAGAGATGCGACGAATACCATAGTATACGTCATTTAAGCGATACAATTTTTACGATTCGCGTATCATGAAACCGTAAATCGCATATTTATTGTCGTTTAGTGTTTCCGACATATTCCTCTACATTATTTAATCGTATACGTCCTAGTGACCTAGCGAGTTTATTATTACAGACACATATCACGATATCGCCCCAAATGTACGCGATTAAAAGCATTAAAACGACTCGAGAGCAAGACTCTCGCGTTCTGTTTTTGTAATACACATGAGAATCTGTTAAACCCGACGCGCGTTTCTTTTTTATACACATAAAATAAATCGTATTTCGTTCGCCATCGAGACGGTACCGATAAGGTCATGGAGGCGTCCGAGGGTGGAGACACCAAAAACAAAATGACGCGTATTCGATACGGATAAACGATTTATCGTATCGAAAAAAAAAAACAGTAGTGACGATACGACGACCGACCGGAGAACGCGCCGCGAGTACGCGTTTTCCGGACGCGACGGCCGCGAACGGAATTCGGGGACGCACGGACGGGACGAAAAAGACCCGCTCCGGAATATAGCGTCGAGAACGCGACGAAAAGAGGTCTCGAAAGGCCGGAAAACCGGGCGAAAAGCGGAAAAAACGGTATATAAAAACAATAATAAAAAGTAATAAGTAATAAGTTATAACCTAACCGATAACGACGACGGCAGGAGATAACGATAACGCCTGGAAAAAAAAATTTTAATTTTTCGATTGGTCGAGACACTAAACCTATCGACCCGTGTAGCAACTATTCTTCGTTTCATATTATAAGACTAGCACCAGTGAAACTCGTTGTAAGTGAATACCCTAGGTCGGTGAAACTCGCTGTATGTGAATACCCTAGGCCGGTAAAACTCGCTGTATGTGAATACCCTAGGTAGCTGAAAATCGTTTGAAGTGAATTTCCTAGGTCGGAGAAAGGACATAAGAATACCGCAGTTAGAAAAGTCTAGTAGGCGAAAACAGTGATAACAATGTTTGAGACGTTGATACCTCTAATTTGGTGGTTTTACACTTTGGCGGTGTCGTTTTAAACGCGTAAATAATAATCTTATTGTATGATTTATATTATTTAATTAATTATTTTCTATACATGGCTGTGGGACGCTATTCGGTAATCGTCGCGGGCTTATCTGGGTTTATTGGCGAC